AAGAAGAAGAAGAAGAAGAAGAAGAAGAAGAAGAAGAAGAAGAAGAAGAAGAAGAAGAAGAAGAAGAAGAAGAAAGCAAGCAAAGAAGAAAGGGAGAAAGAAGAGGTAGGAAGAAAAATGAATAGAAAAAATTTAATGAAGAAGGGAGGAAAGAAGGAAGAAAGATAAAAAGACTTGGAAATCAAGGAAGCTTAAAAATACTTTTCTATAAATAAAACAACATCATTACACCATCCTGTCCCTCAAATAACAACTTACATTTTTTGTTCTACAAAAAGGTGTTCATTTATCCACATCCATTGTTTTCTTGGAGATATCATATATAGTCCAATCTGAGCAAGACGTCCAGGTTTTAAACTCTTCTGTATAAATTCCTACAGAGGAAATAGTGTATTCATTCATTCATTAAAAAAAAAGTCAATGCCATCTATAGAGTAAGGCACTATGCCAAGCATTAATGAAATAGCAAATAATTATTTCTTTCATAAATAATAGGTTTTTAATTATAAACAATATATTAATGAACGTTAAAGGCAATGACTATAAACCACCTACACTTGCTACAACTGCACCTAGAATTTTCCCTTGGGCACTTAGCTCCCAGTTTTGATTCCTCACCAGCTCCTCAGAATTGTGAATCATTAGCAAATGTGCCTGGAGATTTATACAGTCATGTTGACTCTCATTCCAAGTATTAGAAGAAATTAAAAACTTGTAACACTTCCCTTGGTTCAACAGCCAGTGATTTGGACACATATAATTATTTCCTAAAAAAAAAAAAAAGTAAGAAAAATTAATTAAAATCTGTAGTTAATTGAGAAAATGTAAATAGTATCAAATGTGATTAACTGGAAAATAGATTTTTGCCAACTCAATTTTCATAATTAAAAGGCAGCTCTATTAGCAGAACAAGAATGAGATTAATTAATTAACCTGTGCATTTTCTGAAATGAGGGCAGGGTTTTCGGTAACAAGTTGAAGTGAACAAAGCTTGTGAATTCTGACCCCCATAATTAGAAGAAAAAATATATATAATATTTTTTATTGTTTATTACTAACTGAAAAAGTAGAAGTCTGTTGTTTAAGTCCCTGCCCTACCTGGTTCTAATTCCTTTTTTTCGAGGCAGTCTATAACAGACACTTCATTTCTGTGAGATTACTTAACTGCTACTATGGCTTACCTCATTGCATTTGATATGTTCACCCTCCTCTGCTTTCCATTCATACTGTTCCTTTAGCCTTGAATAGCCTTCCCTTCCTTTTTTATCCTCTAAATTACAGAGAACTTTCAATTCTATTTTTACTTCTTAAAGCCTTTAACCAGTCATAATTTCTGCTGCATCTAAGACTCATAACACTTAGGTATCCTTTAACAAAGGATGAGTTGTCTGTATCCTACTCATTTGTGAACATCTCCACATCTTTTACCTAACTGGAAGATTCTTGAGGTGACTGTCATATTCATCTTCAAGGCTCCTATCAGGTAGCATTTTGATTATAGTGTCTAATTGTTGATTGTTGAATGACTAAATTAAATATCCATAAGTTAGAGCATGTCATATTTTTCATTGTTAATATTTTCACTTGTCATCTATGAGCCTATAGTTTTATAAAAATGTATTTTAAGAAATTAAATTAATATGTCCAGCTAAGATATAGGAAAAAAAGTAACGTCAGTAGATATGATTTAAAGAAGACTATCATGGGCTAATTTTCAATATATAAAACTTCATATATATTTTTACGTCATTAACAGAGATAAAAGAGTTTTCAACCGTGAACAGTTATAATTTTGCAAAAAAAAAAAATTTCAGACTCAGGATAATTGGATTCTAATCTCAGTGATACAAGTACACAGTTGTGTGCTAAAAGGCATAAAATTATTTAAAATATACTCCCCAATTTATAATTTCAGTGGAGCTATTTATCCACTATTATTAGTAAAAAGGAGTCAATTGAACCAAGTGATAACATTAGGTGATAGAATGGTCAGTAAAATACAGTTTAGAGCTGCAAAACACATTAAAAATAGTCCAAATGGTCAGCATAGTATGTTAAAATACAAAAGCATGATGCAAAATGTGGACACCAGTTGTGCAAAGAGTTATTATAGTTAACGCAGCTCAAAGTGTTCTCTTCTATAATAAGAAATATTATGGGGATGAGGATAGAAAAAAACATTTATTTAGCAATATTTTGTGTCAATTCCTGTCTCAGATACTTTTATAACAATAACAACAAACACATATAGCCATTATTGTGGGCCAGGCAGGTTGTTAAGCACCTAACACATATTTAGTTTTTAAAATAACTTTATAAAATAATGGAACATATTAAATGACATAATGAAAATATAAACAGAAAAATCCAGAGTATGAGAAATTTTGCAAAACCATGACCCATTTTTGACATTGAGATATTTTAACCAAAAGCAATTGTGGTCTTCTGATTCTCATTCTAACAAAGCAAAAATAAAAATAAAAATAAAAAGACATTTTAACACTGACTAGATAATAGATAATATTAAGAAGTTCTTGTTAATTTCATTAAGAATTGTGGTAGACACAATTTTGAAATGGCCCCTAAGATTCCTGGCCCCTGGTGTACACGGCCTGTGTAATTCCCTCTCCATGAGTGTGAGTCAGACCTGTGAATATGATGAGATATCACTTCCATGCTTAAGTTATATTACATGACAAGATAAAGGAATTTTAAAGACAAAAGAATGGTCCCTAGTCAGTTGACTCTGAGTTAATGAAAAGAGCGATTATCCCAGGCAGGTCTGAAGATGGCGTCAGCCCTGAATGTGAGGGGACCAAAAACTTATATGGGGCTTCAGGCGAGCCTTTTGGCGAGCATATTTTGGGCCAGTAAATTGACGGAGAAGGGAGGAGAGACCAATGAAGTGGGTGATGAGCATGTAGCATTGCCAACCTGAATGCAAGGTCCGGTTCCTACACAAAGGTAAGGGAGAAGTCTGGTTCCCACGCTACGGAGTCGGGGGGATTAGGGATAAACCCTCCTGGACCTAACAAGTACAAAGGAGGAGGAGAAAGAAGGAGAGAGGAGGAGGCAAGAGGGGAGGAGGAGGGAAGGGGAGGAGGGGGGAAAGGGAGAAGAAGAGGGAGAAGGAGAGAGAGGGGGAGAGAGAGGAGAGATTTCAAGGAATGGGCTCATGTATTATTGGTGTTGTCAAGTCCAAAATGTGCAGAGCAGGTTGTCAGGCTAGAGACGGAGGGAAGAGTTGATAGTGCAGCTCAAATCTGGAGTCTGAAGAATGAATTCCCTCTTATTTTGAGGAACCTCAGTATTTTTTCTCTTAAGGCCTTCAACTGATTGGATGAGGCCCAGCCACATTATAGAAGATAATTTGCTTTACTTGAATCTACTGACTTCAATGCTAATCTCATCTAAAATATACTTTCACAGCAACATCTAGACTACTTGACAAAATATCTGAGTACCATGCATGGCCTAGCCAAGTTGACATAAAATTAACCATCACGGCTGATTTAATATACACTAAATATGCTATGATGTAGTTATTATATCCCCATTTGAAAGTTTAAAAAACTGATATTTAATTTGTCTAAATTTAGGTGACCAGTTCGTTGAAATCTCTTGATTCAAACACAGAGCAGCACATTATAAACAAAAAAGAACATTACCTGCTAGAGTGCTGATATTTATGTTCTGTGAGGAATCCAATTTTTTTACCTGTACTCAGTGCAAAGAAAAAAAAATGTGAGTAACATTAAAAAATGAATAGCAATCTAGGAAAACAAGAATAAAAATACTAGCACACAATAAAGACAAAAATTCAAATCACCTCTCTTTCACTAGGCTTCTGTTCCTCTCCTTTCCCAGTAGTAGCCATTTTTATATTTATTTTTATTCCTTTAAGTGCTAATTATATCCTATATATTGCACACATTCTTAGACCTCATATCTATTACTTTTTGTATATTATTTTCTTTTTTCTACTAAACTTCTTAATTGATGTTATTTCTTCATGTTCTAGACCCACCTCTAAAAAGAAAAATAAAACTCCTTTTACCATATTAAGTTTCTTCAGTTTCTTACTTGTATTATTTATAGATTGTTTTTATATAGAGTGAATAACTGCTTTCCAGGAACAAAATAGTTGATAACCTGCAACGACTTTTCATTACATTCTTTGGCTAGCTTCACTCTAATATCAGTACCCCTCCCCCTTTATTTGTCCCAACAGAGTGGATGGAAAAATTATATTGCTTCATTACTCTTGTTTTAAACTTAAGTTAAAATCAAGTTTAGAACTTTGAAGGTATTACTAAAGTGACTTTTTATATACATTTAAAAATCCGATATGAATTTCTTTTTCTTTGCTTTGGGAGAAAACAAATTCTTTATGAAAACTTTTAGAAATATATGTTTATCGACTGTGTCCTGAAATATGATGAGGATCTATCTATCTATCTATCATCATCTTTCTCTCTCTCTCTCTCTCTCTCATTCTCTCTCTCTCTCTCTCTCATCTATCAACTACCTATTCATTTATCATCTATCCATCCATCCATTTATCATCTATTTATCTTTATTTTTGTATTGTATTTTCAATTTGGTGGGCTGTTATAAAGTGAAGATTCTTGTTTTATGTTTTTTTTTCCTCCTGAAAAAAAATTTGTATATTTTTTTTATTATTTCACATGTACTTTTTCCCCCCTATTCCTTTTTTATGAACATTTCTTAAAGGGATATTGCCCTTTCTGTAATGGCAGTATGTTAGATTTTGTCTCACATATTCTCAATTTATTTATATTTATTAATTTTTTTATGACACTTTTCTCTATGGTCTGGGATATTTGGTTAGCTACTATAAATTTTCAGATAGCAAGGGCACAGAAAATAGCCAAGCTATGTAGTAAACCAATACATTATTCCCCTCTCCCACTCCAGAACCAAAACAAGGGAACAGATACCCTATTGCACCAACCACCACTCGATAAAATTGAGCAGTGGTTGGTGCAATAGGGTATCTGCCCTAGTTGCATAGTTCATTATTTTAAAAAGATTTTGTTGGTTTGGGGGCTTTTGTTGTTGTTGTTTGTTTGGTATGACATGGTAGCAAATACTACTTGTGAGTGTAGTAAGAGGTTGTCAAAACAATAATCTAAAAGAGCATTCTTTAGTAAGTTTTTCAGTTAATTACTTTGCTTTGGATCTTTCTTGACACTCTGTACTCATCCATGAAAATAGAGTCCTGCCTAGGTTTTGCCATGAGGAATAGCTTCCATCCACACGGAAGCCCTTTGTTCTTTCTTTGAACTGTAGTTGTCTCATTGATTAATCCAATAGCATTATTCCATCTGCTTTACATTTTTTTTTTACATTGTTCTTTCCTTTTCATTCTCTGTGCTTTTATTAATTCATTTTATTTTGTTATTGTTTATTATCCTAATATAGAACCTTGGGAAAGCAGATGTAAATATTTATGATGAATAATTTGTTTGGAACTGAATGCCAGGGAAAATATTTTAAAACTGGTCAAACTACAAACACAAATTTAATAGAAACAAAAATATTGAGATTGTCGCTAATTTATTAGAATTAAAAATATCACTAAGAAAGAATTTTACCCCTACTTATATTTCATCAATATGTCAATTTTTATTGA